TATATATATATATATATATATATATATATATATAATTTATTAAAGAGTAACATTTGGTATTTGCTTCGATTAATTTTATTAATAAAGATACCAACTGGTATGTTATAAACGTCAAAAAGTTTATTAATACATGAAATTATTGAAAAATTGCAATGGTTGTCACTAATACATTATTATAAGCATGGAAGAAGAAATATATTTAAGATTTAGAAAAGAAAAATTACAAATTAGCATGCTACAACAGTAAATACTAAATTGAGAAAAAGTTTAATGAAATTTTCTTAAAGTCACTTAAAAAATGTGATTAGAAAGGAAGTCTATTAAAAGATAATTAGCTAAATTTCTTTACAGATATTAATTAATCATATTTCTTGTTAATAATGTGATTATTAAAAAACAAAAGGAAAAGTATTAATATTTTATCCTTCAACTTACCATAAAATAAATTATTAGATTTTGTAAACCTGAATATTTATTGATTTAAGAACTAATTAATCATGTAGCTAATTTAAATTAATTAAATCTCGCATATAAAGAGTTAGAACTTAAATAAAAGTAAGACAAAAGGTAAACCAAAGAATTAATCAGAGAATGAAAAGGTCCAAGATTGAAGTTATAGTTAAAAGTAATTTTTTAAGAACAAAACTCAAGTTATAGTTAAAAAGTTAAAAATAGATATTTATTTATTAATAAGATTGAACTGAATACTAAAAAGATATAATAAGTAACACACTATTTAACTAAGCTAAAACTCTAAATTAAAATAATAATAATAGATGGGTTAAAAATACATGTGTTTAATTACATGGAGTTAATAGAATAGCATTAAAATAGTATTTAAAAAATTATATATTGTTTGTTATATTTAAAAAAATAGTTAATGGGCGACGTAAAATAAATAATAAAAGACAAGTGATATTAATATTATTGAGTTGGAAGGCATGATTTGTTAGGGTGCATGGTCCTGAAAAGTGAAAACTAGGACTAAAGCGACTCACCAACTGTGAAGTGTGAATTATTATTCCATACAACATTACAAATTGACAATTTCAACACGTACGCCTAATCCAGACATATCTATTTACAAAATCAACTTCTTTTCCAATTAAAGAATTATATATACAATTACAATTACAATTACAATTACAATTACAACCTCTCACATCTTTCACATTCTACGTCTACGTGTAACCAACCAACCTAATTTCTTTCCTTCAAATTCAATTACTGCTTTCCGTTATTTTTTAAATTAGAAAATGGGGTCCATTTTTGGACTTAGAAGAACCCAACGAAAACTGCTCAATTGGTCAATTTTTATATATAAATGATTTAAAACCGACATTTTGGTTAGAAAATGCAGTGCTAGATTCATGAGAAGACCAAAACCCCAATCACGCAACCAACCTTTGTCTGCTTCATATTTTAACACGTGGACCAAACTTCACCGACACCCTTTCCATTAAATATCTCATAATAAAACCATTTAACTAAACTTATCATCTATATTTCTATCTTTAAGTCGGTACAAATCTACAATGCACTCTAAATCACATAATTATAGATTTTTTATTGCCAATTAATTAATTATCTCAAAAGTATAAATCATTTGGTACGAACATAAGAAGGTTTTTATATTACTCCATCAAACTACGAGGCATAAGTTCACACAAACTATGACACTATATTGTCACACTATAAAACAAATTTTCTTACTAAACGGAAACTCATTTTTCCATTTTTTTTCTTTTATTAAATACAGTTTTGTTAACTTTTTTGTCTTAAAAAATGTCATAATTTTTCATTTAGTTTAAATGGAGGCTTAAATTAAAAAAAAAAACTCATTATATTTTAAGAAACTGTGTGGGAAATAAAATGAAAAAAAAAACTAAAGGGAAAATATTTTATAGAAAACTTGTTTGAAAAATAAAACAAAATGAATAAAACTAGTAATGGATTAAAATAATTATGTCTAAAAAAATTGAATATGAAAATTAAATTTAAAATGTATTGATATTCTGAATTAATAAAATTCTAGTTGAAAATCAATTTAAATACTAGGTTTTTTTTATCATTTTTGGAAAATAATACTTAAGAAATTAAAAAATTATGATAACAACATAATGATAATTTAAAAAACATTATATTTATCTCTCTTAAGATATTGGTTAATGAAATTGTTGGGAGTAAATGATAAGAAATGAATTTGCAAAAGCAAAGAGGATATGAAAGAGGAGAAGACAATATGAACCACGTGTTTTGTTTTGGTAGTGATGAATTAATATATTGATGAGAGATGAATAAAAAGGACAGAGTGACCGGGAATAGGTGCCGCTGTTGTTGAATTACCTTTTTCTGACAATTCCTAATAATTTAGGGGAAATGATTGAACCATTGCCACTGTTTTTGCTTTAAAAAAAATTATATTTAAAAACAAAACAAGTTATACACACATTACTAATCATTGTAGGATATTAGTCTTTTTTTTTCATAAAAACAACAACATAAATTATGGCTGACATGGAATGGTTTTTTTAATTATAAAATTATGTTTAATTATTAGTATATTATGCGATTTAATACATATTTAATAAATATATTAATTATTATAAATAATAAATTGGATAGAAATTTAGGTTATCAAACTCACAAAAACAAATTTATAATTATCTGATATAATTTTGGTATTAAATAGATAATTTATAATAAAAAATTGAATTTGTTTAATAATAAATATTTAAATTTAGTGAAAATAAAATAAAGAAGTTAATTATTATGAAACTGAACTTGTAATAAAAACAATGAAAGATTGATTCATTGATTTTTTTTCTATGTAAAATCTCTTAATTTTTCATTTATTATTGTAATGATACAGTTGATAACTCACAAATATATTTAAATCTTAATTTCATAAGTGAGAAAGTCTAGATTTTTTAAGAAAAATCTCAATTCTTTAGTAACTTTTGTTAAACAATTACATTAAGATTAAGAATTAAAAGTTGATTGATGAGATTTATCTTAATTTCTTGGTAACAAATGTTATCAATGTTTTATTTGTGTCATAATTTTAAAGGAATTTTCTAATCTTGATTAAAAATTATAAAATCATGAAGAGTTTGATCAAGTTAAAACAAACATTAAGTTCAAAAGTAAAATGATTAACTAAATAAATAGTTTATTGAAAGAAAAACATAGAGAAAATTATATGATTCATGTAGCAACTTCAATCTCCAACAATAGAGAACTTAGACATTCATAACTAAAGATTATGTAAGTTAAAAAGGATCTTTGATTGACTCATGATTATAAGAACGTTCGCACCGAGACTTTCTATAATCTTTCTAAAATTGTGTTTGGGGAAGTAATGAATGATACATAAACTTCCTAAATATCTTATTTTTATAATAGTTTCTAACGTACTTTAGGTCAAAACTATTCACTCATAATGCTATTTAACTTCACTCACATAAAGAAAAACTGTAATGAGTGAGTGAATTTTGCTGGTTTAGAACATCCAAGTAGCTTGCTATAAGCAAACTAATATAATATTTCAAAGCTACTCCCTGACTTGGCTTGGTTAGAACAACTTGTTGGTCACTTTTAATGAGTTTTATTAATTTGGAACTTATCTTCTATGTAACTTGAAACATTCTCCTTTTGAATAATAAATAAAAATATTAAAAATATCTCATGTTTAAATAAATAAATTTTAGAATGAAAGTAATTTTTGACTAAGTATTTTATAATAAAATAAGATTTATAAATATAAAATATATTAGTAGTAATTAAATTAAAATATGTAGACATATTTAACCACTATTACCGTTGTAATGTGTTGAGTTAAAGAATTATTGTAAGTATTATTAATTAAAAAAAATCTGATAAATATTTTGGCGAATTGTATATAATTTGAATTAAAGTGAATATACACGGATAAGTGCATAGTTTTTTTTTTATATAGAAAAAATGAATGTATGAGCATTTAAGTATAATTTTGAATTTGAATTGGTGGTGTAGATTTAATTAAAGGCGTATATTTGTGATTAATTAAAATGTTGAGAATGTGATTATAGTTAAAATAATTGATTAGTTTGGCATGTGCAATGAAATTGATATAAAGTGGTTAGTGTTTTGTTATGTTTGTTAATTGTTATGGTAGGGTGATAAATATATAAAATAAAATAGGAGTTAAAATGGGAATAATAAAAATGACGTGTCGGTGATGAGAGTGGTGGGTTTTTATAACAGAGAAATGGGAAAGCGAGCGAATATGAGGTTTGAAGAGAAGAGAAGAGATGGTGATATGAAAAAGAGGTCTGGCCGGGTTAAAGAGAATAGCGGTGCCACTTCGGCAGAGGAGGAAGCACAAGAAGATAAAGAAGATAACACCATCTTCTTCTTCTTCACCCAACAAATTCATGGATATCTGCCGCCACATCATTTTTCCCGTTAGACGCGTCTGGCTCTCTCTCTCTGCTCGCCTCAAGTCTCGCAAAAACGGTACCTTTCATCTCACCCACAATTCTTTTTTCTGCATCCCCCTTTGCTAATTCAATTCCCCTCAAATTATCATCACAAATTGCAAAAAAAAAACATAAAAACTTGGGTTCTTGTCTTGTCTTAAAATTCCCTTTGTACGCCTTGTTTTTGTTTTAATGACACAGACGCGGTAGATGGATGGATAAAGATTACAGATTACAGATTACAGATTGAAATATACTATTTATGTATTGCTTTCGGTTATTTAAGATTACTTAATTCAATTCCACTAACATTAATATATGCACGCCGTTTCCAGACAAAACCCACCACATAATTCGCACTATAATCTTACCTTTCCACATCACTCTGAATTTAAGAATAAATACATATTTTCAGCCCGTACGCCACCTCCAATCCATGCCTAGAGTAACTCAACTAACTAATGCCACACCCAAAGAGAAGGATTTAAGGTAGGATCCACATCTTTTTCAGTGCAACTTTAGTGGTGGCCTCAAACCAACATCAAACTTTAGTGCCACAACCAATACCTGTTACATCACACTCAATGAATCATACTTGATATAAATAAAATGGATCTCCCAAAGTATCTGCCGTACCAGAAAATTGTGTTTTGCTGATGGTCAATTTATAATAACACTACAGGATACATCATACTCATACACGCATCTCAAGGACATTATTGAGTTGAGACTATTAATCTTATTATAAGATCAGGTGCTGTGCACTAACATGATGAACCTGTTATTTTCTACAGGAGCAGGATTGCTGAAGCTTCAGGATGATGTACAGACTTGTGGATATCAAGATGTACAAGTGATGTGGGAAATGCTACAAAGAACCGAAGGCGAAGTTGTTTTAGAAAACCACCCAAAGCGCAAGCAACTTCCATTCTGGAGAATCTTTGTGTGGTCCAACCATACTGAGGTTTCATCAGAATCTACAAATCACTCTTAAAAACCAGACTCAACTTTTTAGTTTACAAATAAAACCGCTACTGATGTATTGCAGTCTGCAAATGGCAAGCCACCATCCTTTTATCTTCCCATTGCCAGCGTTGCGGAGGCATGATTCTTGTTCATGGCTACTAAAACTAAGTACATGTCACTATGATAACGATATCATGAGGTTTCTCTTTTACAACTCAAACTGTATTGCCCTATGACACTAGTATGTAAATATGCCAATAGTTTGTCAAAACTCACACCCAAGAGCTTTTGGGAAATACCTACTCTTTATCTAACAGCAAAGCATGTAGATTTCATGAGTCACTGACATCAAAACAGCGTAGTAAACCCGGAAGATCACAATAATTAACTATGGTCACTCTTAGTAACTAGGTGCAGAGTGTTTTAATTTGATTATTCTCACAGGTTTTGTCTGTATGCCTGGTAGTTAAATACAAGTTAAGTGTAAAATCCCGAGTAAAAACTCAAAACTGACACATACTGTAGAACAGTATAAGTGGGCACATTGTGGTATTATAATCTAATGTTTATCTACTTGCAGACAATAACTATGTTTAATTATTTAACAAAAGAAAGAAGCATTCAAGTACATCACGATAGGCATACGTGAATTTCTATTTCAGAGTCCTCACACTGCTAATGGGTCAAATAAATATATTGGAAACGCGTATTAGATTGTTCCAATTGTTTACTGTTTTTATCAATTTGAGAAGAATCGATTATTAAACAAATATAGTTTCCCCCTCGTAGTCTGCTGGAATTTGCTAGCCCACATAGTATTTGAGCTACAATGAAGATCTACCTCCTAAAGAAAAGATTTCAGTTGAATGGTTTAAGAGAAGGTCAAAACGACGTTACATCTAGAACATAAATCAACATTCCACAAACATCCATTACAAGTTTCTAATTTAATTTAATTTGTAGCACTCTTTC